GTTGAAGATGAACGGGGAAACGCGACGACGGTTGGTTGGTTGTTTGGGGGGAAGGGGGGAAGTGGGGTTGGTTATATTTTCAAAGTTAGAAAACCCGTGGAAAAGATCCGTAGCGATGATCGAAGTAAACGCGAGTGAACGTTGAAAAGAGACAGCTGAGAGTTTGAGATATGAGAAACGAGTGGAGAGAAGTAGCGGGGAGGGGGGAGGGGGGAGGAGGAGGAGAAGAGGTGTTTTCGCGAAGACGAAAGTTCGAGAAAAGTTTAACAGTCGTTGGACGTGTCTATGCACACACTTATGTAGTCGGACGTTTGATAAATCGTGAGTACCTGAGAGTACGAACGTGAAACCAAGAGAAAGCGACAGAGAGAGGTATAAAGAGGGGGAGAGAGAGAGAGAGAGAGAGAGAGAGAGAGAGAGAGAGAGAAAGAAGAGTTCCTTGCGTCGTCTGGAGACGAGCGATGTCATGAGTATGTCAAAGTGTCGAGGCCAGGTCGTAAGTAAAATGAATTTATCATGGGGTCGTATGTGTTACGCGCCGAGAGCTAAGTCGAGAGTGTCGAGGGAACGTGCCCCTGACAAACTGACTGTTGCAACTTGGATAAGAGTGTGCTGTTTCCCTTTCTCCCTTATACCGTAGCCTGTAAACACCAAACTGAAATATAAAACGTGAAAATAAAAAGGAGAAATGTTAAATAAAAAGAACTATCAATCAATTTTATTATCGAAGAGAGAGAGAAAGAGAATATGACGAAAAGTAGAAATATATTATGACGGTGATAAAAATCATTTTTATTTTTCATTCCTTTCTTCGTTGTTTTATTATTTTTTTTTTTACATTTCGTTTCGTATCGTATCATCTTATTGGTTTGAATTTGACAAGTGTTTTATTTTCACGTTCTAGATATATTCAATTTTCAACGGTGTAAATGTGTGATCAGAAAAATATACCCAGCGTAGGAAATAGAAACTGTAATAAATAGTATATGCATATTTGTGTACTACGGAGTGTATATCAACGAAACTAGACGATGACGGGGAAAGAGAGAGAGAAAGAGAAAGAGAGAGAGAGAGAGAGAGAAGCCCGTTTCTCTTTTATTCGAAATCGCTGGTAACACGACAAAGTTATGTAGTTGAAAGTTGCACAGGAAACTGTCGTCGAATACGGTGATTGAAATCCGTCATGGGGAGAGGGGTGGGGGAGGGGGAGAAAGCTTCAGTCGTTCACCACCAATGCCGATTGTTATTGGTCGTTCGTTGAACTACGATTTCGGTAGACGTTAATGGCGAACGAATGAACAGGTGAGTCCGATCGAAAAAGAATTGACGTTTTTCTTTTTTTTTTCTTTTTTCACGATCAACACTTTTATTTTGTTTCTTTCTGATGTTTTTCCTATTTTTTTCGTTATCATATCTCGTTATTGAGAACAAATGGATATAAATTAAGGGATACACAATTTTGATTTGATTTATGAAGAACGAATAAATGAGAAAAAAAAAATTATGATGAAGGAAGGAGGAGAGTACGGGGTCACGCGATCTTTCACCGAAAAGAATTTTTACGAGGTGCTTCGAAATACGAATGGATGATCGTAAACGTTGTCAATGAAATTTTTCGACCAATCAATAACCTCGAATCGTTCGAATCAATTTCTTGTCAAATATTTTTTCTTTTTTTTTGCGAACGGTTAATAAAATGATTTTATAGAAACCACCAATTGTCGTTTGATTCAGTCAAATTTGATGTTCGATCTCGCGAATTTGATGCGATATTATCGTTATAATTATCATTATAATACGAGTTTTGTTTGTACTCTCGCGATGGATGATAATCTTCGATAATAATTATCGAGATAGCTTTAAATTTATCTTCATCTAATTCTCTCTTTCCCCCGTTATTTCTCTTAAATCATTTTCAACACGGATTTAACTGACTGAAGTTTCGAATAAGCGTTTTCATTAACGACCGATCACCTCGAGTTAGTAGCTATTCGGAAATAATTCAACGCTTCAACTCTTGGAACTCGATGATTCGTAGTTAACGGCGAATTTCCGAATTCGGTGGTTTCAACTAATGGCAGACCGCAGCAGCAGGAGCAGCAACAGTAGTAGTAGTAGTAATAGTAATAGTAGCAATAGTAGTAGTAATAGTAATAGTAATAACGGTAGCTGCTTTTCGTGGTCTCTCTTTTGTAAATTGACTACTTCAAAGATTTTTCTAAGAGAGACATATTGCTGACATACGAGAAGAAATGAAAAATTAAAAAGTAATAAATACCAAAAGTAAAAGAGTAACATATTCCGAAACTTTTCTTTCGCATGACAAATGACAACGTTTAACTTGTATCTTTAATATGATAAATCACATTAAAAGTATCCCCCCCCCCCATCACAAAAATAATCTTATCCCATTTTACCGTTCGAACAAAAGCAGAGAGAGATCGCGAGAAAAAAAAAAGGAAAAAAGAAAAAACGAAGAAGAAGAAGAAGAAGAAGAAGAAGGAAAAAAAGCAGATAAAAAGAAAGAGAGAGAGAGAAGAAAGAACGAAATGTAAGATGAACCCTGACATTGACACGTCACTCTTGAGAATACAATAGATTCAACCCTCTTCTTTCTTTGACACCTTCGAGAAGATCTTGACCTTTTTTTTGCTTTCTCAGTGGCTAACATAAGTAAAGCAGCAGTAATAGAAAGAGAAAGAAAGAGATAGAGAGATAGATAGAGAAAGACCAAAGCAGCACGGTAACAGACGGAAACGCTTTTTAGTTTTCCTCTTTAACTTTGACACTGTTTTTATTCGCCGAACGTTATACACTAACGCAAAAACTACGACTACGACGAAGAGAACGATGAGGAGATGAAGAGGAGAATAAAGGAGGATGCTAGTCAATTCTCGTCGACCATTACTATTTACAACAGCCCTCCTTCCCCTCCCCTATTATCCCCGTTATTTTATCCAAGAGCTTCTTTTCACCCCCTTAAAACTTTTTCCTTTTCTATTTCTTTTTATTCTTTTTTCTTTTTTTTTTAACCCACTTCTTCGCAAACTTTTCTATTCATTATCTCTAAACATTGCACGATCATTTTCGTCTCTTTTCGTTTGCCTTTCCCCCTCGCACCTCTTTTCTTTGTTTTTTTTTTTTTTTTTTTTTTTTT